AGTCTTGGGTATATAGGCTTGAGAGCTCTCATACGAAGGGAAGATGAGCTCCATGGTGATGATTACATGGCTAGTCGTATAGTGAGGAAGAGGTTCCGAGAGGAAAGTAAAATAATAGAGGAAGAGAAGAAAAGACGGCAGAAGAAGCATAACTTTGGTGAGACCATATTTATAGTATTTGATATTATTATCTATGATGATGGTGGTAAGGTATGATACTAGCTGATGCAGATGAGGAGGATACACGTGAAGCTGCAAGACTGAGGAGGGCTGGTATGTTCAAGACCAATGAACATCACGTGAACATTGCTATAAGTAAAGCAAAGAAGCTATCAGAGCCAATATTTGGGACGAGGAGGAAGAACAAGGGAGGGCGATCATCGTCATCATCATCATCATTGGATAGTAGTAATAGTCACTTAGTAGTAGAGCAGTCTGTGAGGATGTTGATGGCGAGGAAAGCTAGAGGTAACCGGTAGCATTATTACAGGTCTTCTTGTGTTATTGGGGTAATAGTAGTATCACAGTTTATTGTTTATCACTAAGCCGACCATTCTATCTCGTACTGCGTATAATGTCACCTGCTACTATCACTACTACAGCCTTCCCAGTGTAAGTTTATCTCGGACTTTCTATCCTACATACCCCTTCTCTTAGATGGTTTGCTTATGATGATGACACCGACGGTGGCCACCACCACCATCATCACCATTCGTCGGTAGAATGGGAGTATGATGGTATGAGTGCTCTCATCTTGGAGGACTTTATGCAACACAACTTGCTGTCGTATTCTGGCAACCACTTAGATGATAATACACATCGTCGACATAGCGTGAATACTATCACTGACATGCTTAATGATATGATGAAGAGAAATAAGAGATCCTTAGGATGTAGTCATATGGCTGATCATCATGGCGAGGATGAAGTGGAGGAGGAGAAGGAGGACGGCTTATCCCGATCTAATGACAGCCTCGGACAACATGCCATACTCCCTCCTTATGTTGAGAACACCATACCATTCCATCAGGGTTCTGATAGTATTCTGCATGAGGGTGATCATGTCATCAACAACCGCCAGGATATTCAAATCGACTGGGCGTCTCTCATTACGGCTCCGGTGGTGACCACAACACAATATACGAGCCTTTTCTCCTCACCTTATTATACAACTAAAGAGGACTCCACTCTAGATGACACTCTGTCGGTGGCCTACTCTGCTGATTCTCCCTCCTCTGCTGGCAGTGGTGGCCAAGCTGATAGGGATACCATTGTTGGAGTGGATAAGGAGGATGATGGTATCACTAATGAAGAAGAGGAGGAGGGTGATTGGACACTCCTCTATGATAGCACTCTTGATTATGATGCTGAGGCATCACCTCCCACCCTCGACTTGAGCGATGCTCCGCCTCACGATTTCATCTTGCTGTGATTACGTGGATAGGCGGGGTATGTCGGCGAGTAGCAGTTGTTAGCACTGTTGTTATCGTTGTTAGTATGACCCAGGCTTTGTCCTCGGTAGTCCGTTGCTGTTGTGCATCATGCTCATTACCACTACCTGTTTGGGTTTAGTATACCATACTTAGGCGGGGGTTTTGAAGTTGTGCCAAGGGTGGTACTATCACCACTAACCATCATAGACCACTATCATCTGTCTATATTTTTATCATTATTAGCACCTCACATTTCAGCATCTTATCCGCTGTGATAGCAGCGATTCTGTCGAATCTCACTAGCACATGTAGCACTATCGAGGTTGCAGAGCTCATACTCATAGTACGTTGCTGCCTGTAAATCGTATTAATGTGGCTACTACACCTCTCTCAAAGAGAGTGTCTACCGCATCACTGCTTGGTTGAGTTCCAGTGGAGGCTGCATATGAATTCTCACTCATGTACACGTTGTATCGAGCTCATGATTACTATGGTGTTGGGTCTGAGATATAGTGTTCGATTCCTGATGTTGGTCGTTGGTATAGCAATTTGGGGATGATATGGAAGTACGTTAGACATGAGATAAAATGGACCACGCTCAGCAGGGCGACGATCGAGATACCTACGGACAACATTCGAGATGTAGTGAAGGTGTGGTATGCATACTTAATAATGGGGTTAGTATTCTCAGCCGTCTCCCTCTCCTTGGTAGACTCTACCCATTCGGGGGTGTACCTCTCTCAATCTAACACCTACCTGACCCATTGTCTGTATGATATGGCACAGACATAGTACACCAAGTACCAGGATAGGAGCGCCAACCTAGAAAGGCTTCTCAGCTACGAACCCCCATCGCCATGGGAAGTCCTTAGCGAATTCATCATAATATCTTTGTATAGAAGTCATATGAAGGACAATACATAACAGCCTACACTGTGGAATACGCCAGCATTCGTCATATACCAATGTTCCTAGGTATAGCCATGATCGAATACAGGTTGATGTTATAGATGGGCACCGTAACGTTTTTTACGGTTACGGAAAAGCCTTACGACTTAACGGTTGGTGCTGAACTGCTTTTTTATAATTGTGGCGGGAAGATTCGCTGTAATGCACTCCACGATAGCTCAAATAGTTGTTGAACTCATTTCTTGTGACTCGGATTCAACCAAACCGCTGAGAGAGTAACACTTGGTTTCGCATTTGGCACTCGTCTCCTTTGTAAATTCCGTCCGTCTTACTCCCGGGCTGGCCCGGAACTGCCAAGCTGGCCTCACCTACGGATTCGCATTCACATGAAATAGATTTAGGCGACTTGGATGATCAGTCCTCGTTTTGCCCTCTGCATCTCCGTAAGACCCGTTACGGCGCCGTAATTTTGCGGTACGGGGCTTGAAGCGTAACCGTGAAGTGAACCGTAACGGTCCGTAACGTAATTCTACCCATCTATAGTTGACGTAGTGGATAGGTCTTAGGGGTTCCTAACAAATGTGCCGAAGTTGAAATGTAACTCACAAACGTTGTCGAAATTGAATATCTTAGAACAGCACATCGTCGAGATTGAAGTTCCTATGGGAGTATATTGGCTCATAAACTGGCTCGTGTGAACGTAGTTTTAAATGGTGGAGTAGATGTCAAAAGATGTAGTATGTTACCACGGAAGTGTTGTCATACCGTACGAGGTCTGACGACTTGTAATGCTTACATTACAGTGACGGCTCCGGGCTCTGTTCGGGCAGATATTATCTGTGGTTAATAATTGACTAGTGATGCTCACCTCAATGAAGTCGGCAAATGTTCACGTTGGTGGTCGAGACGGAGTACACAGCTGGGAATGTCTATGCCCTTGTAGCCTTGGTGAATGGTGTTAATGTATATGCCTACTGTGAAGAGAGCATGGCCCGGAATATGCCTGTTGCATGAGTTCTAGTGTTGGTATTCGGTCTCTATCTCCTTCCACATGAAGAGACTTGTTACTGTTAATACCGAGTCGTTCTCACTTCCTAACCCCTCTCCACTGTGTTGAATTGTAGTTGTAATGTGTGTAGAAGGCTCAGATATGTATCAGTAAAACGAGTGTTCAGTGGGCTGTACTGACCTTGACTAAGGCAGTCTTCACCGCTATCCATGACAAGAGGAATAGGGTTCAAGAAAGTCTTGTTCACCAAGCCTAGGGGCCGAGATGAGGAGGAGGAGGAGGAGGAGGAGCTACAGTTAGCATTGAGAGTGTGAACTACATCACTTCCCTTCAGTGGGGTTGGCATTATTTTTATGATGAGCTCCTTCTCGTGGGTGTTCCTCCTCACCTCCCTATATCTCGCT